TAAAAATGTCAGCTATCTGCTCACTTGCTGGCAAGTGTTGAACTGCTATAATCTTCTTTTCCACTTTCTCTCTTATGAAATGAAGGTCTAGTTCGAAATGCTTGGTCCTAGAATGGTTAACCGGGTTCCCTGCTAAGCAAACTGCACCCCTATTATCAACCCAGATCACACTAGGCTTTTTGAACTTTATTTTCAGTTCATCAAATAGAGAGTGCAGCCATAACACTTCACAAGCTGCTTGAGCTACACTTCTGTACTCTGCCTCTGTTGAAGATCTTGAGACAATACCTTGTTTCTTAGCACTCCAAGATACCAGGTTGTTCCCCATATATACACACAAACCACTAGTGGATTTCCTGTCATCAATATCTGACCCCCAATCTGCATCTGAAAAGGCTCTTATGTTGAAGTTTGGACTTCTGTTTATCTTCAAGCCATGATCTTTTGTTGCAGCCAGATATCTCAAGATCCTTTTTACAGCTTTCCAGTGCTTATCTAGAGGAGTATGCATGAACTGACAAACCTTGTTCACACTGAATGTGATATCTGGTCTAGTAAGAGTGAGATATTGAAGTGCTCCTACTATTTGTCTGTAGAGCTGGCCATTTTGCATAGGATATCCATCATGTTTGGAGAGGTGTGGATGACTGACCATGGGTGTACTAATTCCTTTGGCCCCCTTCATTCCAGCCCTATCTAAAATCTCATCAATGTAAGTAGATTGGGTTAAAAGGAGACCCTCAGCTGTTGATGAAACTTGAACTCCTAAGAAGAAGTGCAGAGGACCAAGATCTTTAATGGAGAAAAAGGTAGAGTGAGATTTGATAGTGGACTGAATGAGTTGAGGTTCACTGGCTGTAATCAAGATATCATCCACATAAGCAAGTATGAATATTGAGGAGCTGCAGTTATGCTTGAAGTATAGTGATGTGTCTGCCTTGGAAGTAGAAAATCCAAGTTGAAGAAGAATAGAGCTCAGTTTAGAAGACCATGACCGGGAAGCTTGTTTTAAACCATAAAGGGACTTCTTGAGTTTGCAGACAAGTGGTTGAGATGAAGGAACTTCAAAGCCTTGAGGTTGCATCATGTAAATGTCTCTGTCTAAGTCTCCATTGAGGAAGGCATTATCAACATCAATTTGATGGATTTGCCAACTAAGGGAGACTGCAAGGGAAAAAATAATTCTGATTGTTGTAGGTTTTACCACAGAACTGAAAGTTTCTGAATAGTCAATGCCAGCATCTTGAGTGAAACCTTTGGCCACTAATCTGGCTTTGTGTCTAGAGACAGATCCATCAGGGTTGGTCTTCAATTTGAAGACCCATTTGCATCCTATGATGTTGTAGTGAGGGAGCTGAGGGACTAAGTCCCAAGTGTTGTTCTTCATTAGTGCCTGAAATTCTTCTTGCATTGCTTGATGCCAGTGTGGATGAGATAAGGCTTGAGAAACACTGGTAGGTTCTGAAGATGAAGCCAAGTGAGAGGAGAAGACCCTTGGCTTTGTAATACCTGATTTTGATCTAGTAACCGTATGATGGTGACCTGTTCCAGAATTATTAGGTGCATCATTTTGCTCAATAGGTAAGTCAATGATAATTTGCCCAATAGGAATTGTGGAATGAGAAGATGAACTTGAGTGATGTGGAGGATGAGTACTATTAGAGTTAGAAGATGTGGAAGGAGAGGATGTATGAGGAGATGAATGAGGAGTGTTAAAAGGACTGAAGTGTTGATTATTCTGGGGTGATGTAGGTGGAGTGAGTGGTTGGAGGTTTTCAGGCTGGGGAATATGCTGAGTAGTTGAGGGGTTCACTGAAATGTTAGGAATGGTGATAGGTATTTCAAAACTTGAGTTAGAATGAGATGAAGAATGTTCATGAAGTGGAAAAACTAATTCATTAAAGATGATGTGCCTTGTAATGATGATCTTGTTACTGGGCAGAAGGACTTTATATCCTTTGTGATGAGGGCTGTAACCAATGAAAACAGATGGGAGACTTCTGGGTTGAAGTTTGTGTTTGTTGTATGGTTTGAGAAGTGGGTAGCACAAGCAACCAAAACATTTAAGCAAGGTATAGTCTGGAAGTTGGTTATACAAGGCTTGAAATGGTGAGATGGAATGAAGAATTTTTGTTGGAGTTCTGTTAATGAGGAAGACTGAACTGGAAAATGCTTCATCCCAATACTTAAAGGGTAAGTTAGACTGATATAAGAGAGACAAGCCAACTTGGACAATATGTCTGTGTTTTCTTTCAGATAAGCCATTTTGTTCTGGGGTATATGGACAAGAAAATCTGGAGACAACACCCATTTCAGAAAATATAGGTTTAAGTGCTTGGAATTCTCCACCACCATCACACTGAAAGGCTTTAATGGTGGTGTGAAATTGAGTTTTAACTAAAGCAGCAAAGTGAAGGAAAGCTCTCTTGGTGTCTGATTTGTTCTTAAGGAGATAAAACCAAACAAATCTTGTCTTGTGGTCTATAAAACTAACATAGTATCTATAACCCAAATGAGAGACCACAGGAGCTGGTCCCCATAAATCAGAGTGTATTAAATCAAAAGGAGCATAAGCTTTATCATCAGCATCATCAAAAGGCAATTTATGAGATTTGGACACTAAACAAATATCACACATAGAATTGGCATTTGAATCAACATTAAAAGGAATGTGACAATGTTTCAAAGCAGTTCTGACAACATCAAGTGAGGCATGTCCAAATCGTTTGTGCCATAAAGTAAGATCAACAACATGTTTTGATTGAATAAGATTGCAACTAGAAGAAGATAAGAAAGAAGAGCAATGTTGAGGTGCTGCATCAGTAAGAAGCTGGAAGCAATATAGGCCATCTTTAAGTGTGCCTTGAAGAAGTGGGGCTCCTGTCTTGAGATCCTTCACAAAACATAAAGTGGGATGAAACTCAAAATAGACAGCATTGTCTTGGGCAAATTTTGAGACACTAAGGAAATTTTTAGTGATGTGAGGAACATGCATAAGGTTATTAAGGATGAAGGCATGAGATGTAGAAGATGTAGGGCAATTTATCAAAGCATTACCAATGTGAGCAATATCCATACCTGTACTATTTGCAGTGTGGACCCTTTCATTGCCATTGTACTCACTAGCCATGCTTAAGTTACTGAGATCATGAGTGAGGTGATGAGTGGCTCCAGAATCAGGAAACCAGTATAGATCTTGGCCTGCTTCAGTTTCTTGAGGGCCAAAACTAGCCACATGAGCTGCAAGGTTGTTGTTGCCATTGTTGTCTGAACTTCCTCCAAGTTGGTTTTGGTTTCTAGAGACAAAGTTGGCATCAAATCGAAAATAGCATTCTTTGGCTGTATGATTGTTATAGTTGCAGATCTGGCACCTAGGTCGATTTGTGTTGAAGCCACCTCTTCCTCCTCTTCCTTTATAAGAGTTCATTCTACCTGAACTTCTTCCTCTTGGAGCATTGTTTTGGTTAGCACCTCTGCCTCTATAAGATCCATACCCTCTTCCTCTTCCTTGAGTGTGAGTAGCAAGATTTGCTGCTAAAAAGGATGAATCTCCCTCATTTCCAGTATCAAGACTTTCCATTCTGCTCTCAAAACTCAATAATACTGAGTAGGCTTCCATGAGTGTGCACTTTTCATTTCTGGAAGTCAAGTTTACCACAACTGGATTGTACTCTTGGCCTAGACCAGAGAGGAGATGAAGGATCTGGTCATTTTCTTCAAGTTTCTGACCTGCAACAGCTAGCAAATCACATATGCTTTTGATCTTGTTGAAATATTCTCTTATCTTCAAGTTTCCTTTCTTTAAAGTTTGGAGTTCCAGCTTGAGCTGCATTTGTCTAGCAAGGCTGTGACTTGAGAAGCTTTTCTTCAAGCATTCCCATATTTCCTTTGATGTGTTCAGGCCCACAGTGGTTATGAGAATGCTTTCAGAGAGAGATGATAATAGCCATGAAGCTATGAGCTGGTCCTGTCTCACCCAGTGAAGATATGCTTTGTTGACAGTGAGTTCTCCATTTGTTGGATCTCGAGTGAGCTTGTCTGGTGTTGGGGTATCTCCTGTCAAGAACCCTAGGAGATCATAGCCTCTGATGGTAACAAGGATCTGTTGTTCCCAGACCAAGAAATTATTCTCATTAAGCTTGGTTGAGACGAGCTGGTTTTGCAAGGAAATGATTGGATCTGATGGAGGTGAGGCTGCAGCCATGGTGTAGATGGTAAGACTTTATTTTTTGATGGGAAGAGGTATGGATCAGAGCCTAAGCTCTGATACCATAAAGGAAAACGTGATGAGATCCCAAAATAGCATGAAGATCAAAGATAATAAATAAGGGTAAAATACTTTTTCCCATCTGAACTATCACGGTTTTGGCGCATCACCATATAAACTATATTTTTTTACAAACCACCATATAAACTATACGGGTTTGTCAATATGCCCCCAAAACCGGATATAAAAGTGGTTTAGGGGGCACATTGACAAATCCATGATAGTTCATATGGTGGTTTGTAAAAGTATTTAGGGGGCATATAAGGTGACCAAACAGCTTTTTCAGTCAATACCACTTGTATATCCAGTTTAGGGGGCACATTGACAAATCCGTATAGTTCATATGGTGGTTTGTAAAAAAATATAGTTTATATGGTGATGCGCCAAAACCGTGATAGTTCGGATGGGAAAAAGTATTTTACCCAATAAATAATGATGGAGACATTTCATAAGAAAATGCAGGTTTCTCATATCAGCTTTTTCTTCACAAGGTTCTATGATATCTTATTTCATGAATAATGAATATTAACACTCTACTGATTCTTTATATATGACGGCTACAGCTCATACACCATATATGAGGCTATCAACTACTTTCAATCTCAACCACACAAGACATGCTAGGGTTTTGTTCTATCTTTTGTCAATATCTGCATTTTGTCTTCATGCAGATCCATGCTCCACGTCAGCTATGGCATGGGTTGGCTGTGTTGTTATCCTAACAATAAAAACATTATTTCGAGTACAAATATCTTGTGTTAATTAACCAAGACCGTCAGTACGAATTTTCACAAATCACAACACCACTATACACGATCTTCGTCAAAGATCCACCCACCAATTCTAGGTTGGACTCAGTTCAAATTGGAAGTGACTCAAGTTTCAAATATTAATATTAACGGGTCACACAGAACCTGACGTGTTTGCTAGTTCCAAGTTGGGCTCGGACCCACCAGTTTAGGAAAAAAATTGACATCCCGGTCCGGGAGATCGAATCAACGGCCCAGGCTTCTGGCCTGGTTAATGGCCGAACCCACGACGGGCTGACCAAAATATATTTCAGCTACTCACTCAATTCTAATTTTTACTTATTCTATCACACGTCATTGCAACTACAAAATCTGAAACGGCCGGAAATTTTAAATAGCGGAAAAGGACTGTTGCACACAATTATTAATTACTTTACGTACTCATATTCCAAGACTGTCCCAATTATGACGTCACCAGGGACCCCCCATGCAAAAATGCCCGTCAAAATTATGCATGCATTTAATTATTTATTTATTATTATTATTTTTTTTTTTATTTCATGTCCCCTATATTATTAAACGAATAATGGCGCGATAAATTATTGTTATATTATTATACTATTGTTTCCCAAGCATGCAGGTGGTTTACCTCATAAATCCCTTTAGGTGAAATATTTATAGTAAAATTTTGGACCTCATTTATTGTCATCTCCTCAATTTATATGCCCCCCAAAGAAGCAAACCCCTTTACCCAAAATTCACCAAACAAAATCGCAACACCTTGTAGTGCGTGTCTGCGTCTTTGTGTGTGTGAAAAAAAAAAGCAAAAAAAAAATTATGGAAAACCCTAAAATGGGAAAACCAAACTGCCATGCCAAGAAGGAGTTGAAAAAGGGGCCTTGGACTCGAGACGAAGACCAGAAGCTGTTGGCTTATATTAACGAACACGGCCACGGCAACTGGCGTTCTCTCCCTGCTAAAGCAGGTTATTTATGATTTTAATTTTATTTTATTATTTAACTGATATGTTAGCTGAAATAAAACTTTCAACGAGCAACTACCTAAACAGACTTATGAGATAAGCTCGAGTTCTTTTTTTTTTTAAAAAAAAAAGTTCGTCCTACCAGACGAAACTTATAATGCCGTCACCTGATTTTCTAGTGTTGGATAAACATACACGCACATGAGTGTGTGTTTTGTGATCCAATGGCTAGTGATCGGTTAGGCCATTATTATCACTGGTAGGATCGACTTTTCCAGTATGTATACCAAATAAAGGATGCGGGGTAGTAACTAGTAACCCTAGTTGCTACTGATTTGTTTCAAATTTCAATATTAGTGGAGTTAAGGATGTGTTTGATATATATATATAGGGTTAGAGAGATGTGGTAAGAGCTGCAGACTGAGGTGGACGAATTATCTGCGACCCGATATCAAGAGAGGTAAGTTGAGCTCTCATGAAGAGAAGACCATTATTCGACTCCATGCTCTTCTTGGCAACAGGTAAATTAATTTAGAAAAAAAACAATTATTATATTTAATTTTTATTTTTCATTATTCTCATGCAACATTTGTGGTTAGTGTTAGTTAATTAATTAAAGTGTTCTTATTAAGAAAACTGACTTGGTACTTTGATAATGAACATTCCCTCCAGAATATATGTAGACGAATTAATTCCCAGTTTATTTGTCCCCCTTTTTGTACTTTTATTATCTTTTGTTTGATAATAATCTCTTGCTAGTTATGACCATGACACATCGAGACACATTTTAGTTCTTTTTATTTCATTTAATTAACATTATTTTTTGTATATCTTGGCACGTGATATTTGTGCCGATTTCCCTATGTTCATGGAAAATGCTCTGGTCTCGTTAGAGTATCATCCTGTTGGGTGTTTTAACAGTTGGACTTGGATCATCTATCTTATACTAACTACATGTGTATCCAACGGTTAAACCTCCCGACGGAATTGTACCGTAACAGGACCATGGCATTTCGCAACGTTCATTATTCACATGCAATACAGCATTAGTCAGGTCCTGACCTGTATACCACAAGGCAGATAAAAGAATCTTTATAATTAAACAGCTCTTAGAATAACCATAGTTAATTCATGATATACTACGTACAAATATTAAAAAATATATATATATATATATATATATATATATATTGAAACATAATTAGAAATAATTTGAAAACGGTCTTCTTAAAAAGTCGGGGTCCTAAACGGGAGCATGCTCTGCATTTTTCTATGACAATCCCTGGCACCTGTTGTACGGCTTGACAGAGACAGACATTCTGATGTCATAATTACTACTCATGACACACAAATAGTACCTCTCATTAATGTGGAGCTTTTTCTTATCGGTGTCTCAATTTCTGGATAATCTTATGTGTTGAATTCTGGTGTTTCGTAATCCTATGTGTTAACTAATTTACGGTGTTTCTACATGTAAATATGGACTAGTGATTTTTCTAATTACCTCATTATTTTATTGACTAATTATGTATCTATTTGCAATATAGGTGGTCCGCAATAGCAGCCCACCTACCCAAAAGAACGGACAACGAGATAAAGAACTACTGGAACACCCGCCTCAAGAAACGCCTGTCCCGAATGGGTATCGACCCAGCAACCCACAAGCCCAAGGCAAGTAGCTCGGCCCAATCCCAACACGCGGCCACACTCAGCCACATGGCCCAATGGGAAGCCGCCAGGCTCGAGGCCGAAGCCCGTGCCTCCCAACCGGCCCAACTCCTCCGCCGCTTCCCAATCCCCCGGCCGCCACCTCACCACGTGGCGGTGGCCCCACCGTGCCTCGACGTTCTCAAGGTGTGGCGGGCCACCTCCGGGAGCCTCGACTCCCCAACTTCAATTTTCAACTTCTCCAGTAATACCCACGCAGTTCCTGCAGTTGGTTCTGTGTCCACAAACATTCCCAACGGCGAATTTTTTGTTGAGGGCAAAACGGACAATTTGGACGGTGTGAGTTTCGATTGTGATGGTGCATTTGGCGCGGTGGACCTTGCCGCACTAGATCGTGACCCCGGCGTGGGGGAGTTTGAGGATGTGAGGAACTATTGGAACGACATACTGAATTTAGTGAACTCGCCGGTGGAGTTGTCGGGGTTTTTGGACTTTTAGGGTTGATTTGGGAAGTTTGTGTGATTTTATGGGATAGGGTTTAGAGTTTATTTATGATGTGCTCATTGTAGGAGATGGCTAAGGTTAGGTCTTAGTGTGTCTTTGGCAAATTGTCATAGTGACATTATTATTTTGATGCAATATGTAGATTTTAGTTTTAGATTATGTGGAAGTGGATCATGTCCATTGTTGTTTGGTAATTTTAATGTAGTTTCGTGTTTACATGTAACATTATTCTTACGCAAATATTTAGGTGCACCCTGGCACACCTAGCAAGGTGTGCCAAGGCTTTTTTAAAATGAACATGCATGTTCATTTTAAACTGTCTTGGCACACCTTGCTAGGTGTGCCAAGGCACACGGTAGTAGCACTGTTATTCTTTAAGGTAAAACCACTCAACACGGGCATACGTCATTATTTTGGAACGTTGTGTCAATTTTTTGTTTCAAATTATGGTGTGTTTTCTCCTTTTCTATGTGGCATTTTGCTCAAAATTTACATGTACAAAAACGATCAAGTCTTCAACCTGTAGCTTAATACGTACGGAATCATAATTCACTGCAGCAGGAAAATAGAGTTTTAGTGAAAAAAAATTTTGTCACTATATCTACAATTGTTGTCACTATATCTACTGTCAGTATATCTACAATTATTGTCACTATATCTACAATTGTTGTAGATATAGTGACACCAACTGTAAATATATTGACAGTAGATATAGTGACAACATAGTGACAAAAAAATTATTCACGAGAACTCTATTTTCTTGTAGTATTATACCATATTATGATGAAATATTATCTTTAATTACGGGAAAATGCTAAGGACCCGTTACTTAACCATTCCGCCAGGATTTGTAATCGTTAGATCATCATGTAACTGTTAGATATAGTTGGTTTAACAGTTACAATCTCCAACGTAATGGTCCGTAACGGGACCGTAGCATCTTCCTTAATTATGTTATATATGTACTCTGAGATATACAACGAAAAAGTATGTCTGGTGATCAACTAAAATGCTGAATTGGCTACGGTTTCAAGTTCATTTTATAAGCACAAAGTATGAGACTTTCTTGAAGACATTTTTTTTTTTTTTTTTTTTTTCGACATCAAGAAATGCATAAACTGAAAATGAATAAATGGGACTCAACAATCAACATAAAAAACCTAAAATAAAAAATAGGGAAATTTTTACACATACTTACCGTTTTTTAGTTATTTGCAAGATTACCATTGAAAGAAAAATATTTGTGTGTTTACCTAATAGATAAAAAGATATTATATTAATGCCTAAATTAAATCAGTAGTTGTGTGAAACGGTTTCCATGATTTTAGGGGACACAATCTTAAGCGGCTATTATGGAAAAAAGATAATAAAATTCAAATTTAGCAGCATATTAGTCGCTTAAAAAAAGCAGCGGAAACAGGTTATGGAAGAACGGACGGCGATGAGAATCAATTGAAAAAAAAAAAACTTCGTTTATCGGAAAAAAAAAGGAAAACTTGTGTTTCCGATTTCAGAAAAAAAAATTGAATTGAGAGATATTTGGAGGTATATTTTCGTGATATTTGGAATTATATTTCTTTGAATTCGAAAATTGTGTTAATTTGTTTTTTATTTAGATGGATCCGAATATGATGATCTTCGTACATCATGGTGGTGAATGGGTCGTGAATGAGTACGTAAATTACCAACTATCAGGTGTTGTTATTCGAAAAGAAAGCAGCTACGATGAATTATGCAGTATATTGTGTGCAGAACTATGGTTGATACGGCAATCAACTGTGCTCGACCTAAAATATAAGTTGAAGGAAGGTAGTCCACTAATGTCGATAAACAACGATAGCAGCCTTGGATTCTATGTGTTTTTGGTGTCCAAAGAGGCCGACTACACCAAATATCCGGTGTGCGTTGTGGTGAAATCTCGGAGTAGTATTGAAAATTCGAATGATGAAGATGTGAATATATGTTTGGTGAATTGCGAATCAAACATTGCTCCACTCTCCTATCCAGATCTTGACAGATATCCTGATAAAGCAGATGGCACGATAAATTTTTTGTCATTTGCGAGGAACGTTGCTGAAGAGATGGTAGAAGTGGCAGCATATACCGAAAATATACTGGATATATACCCTGGATCTGGAAATCGGTTGTTTGACGAGCACAATTTTGACTCTGGTATTGTTCTTGGTATTTTATTAAAGGATAAGGAAACCTTACAGACGATGCTGACAATGCATGCTATAAAGCATCAGTATCAATTCAAGGTTAACAAGTCATGCTCAAAACAATATTATGTCAGGTATATCTAAGTTATATTCTGTTATATCTAACGTATTATGGTATATCTAAGTTATATGCTTTTATATTTAACTTATATTTATATATCTAAGTTATTCTATGTTATATGTAATTTACATTCTTTTTTTTTTCTAACACATTTACTTTTATGTCAGGTGTGTGTCTAGCGATTGTACATGGTTTGTGAAAGCTTCACGTGTGGGTCGGTCAAACACCTTTAAGATAAGACATGTAGGAACTGAACATATATGTGGTTTGGATGTGAGAACTAGTAGTCAGAGACAAGCGACATCAACCCTTGTTAGTAGTTTCATCAAGACAAAATTCACTAACAATAGAACT